CGGAGAGGTACGCAAGTCTCGTAAGTATAGTGGGTGTTTGAAAACTGGGTATAACCGTATCACTTGTACAGATCGTGTAACACTCAGCTAGAGACATGAACGATGAAGACAATACAGCACATATGCGACTTTTGTAGTGTTACGATTTACTGCTTTTGTAATATTGAAAAAAGATAGTGGTGTTATGTTATGATATACTACTTTTGTCATTTTGAAAAGCAAACTATTTATAATATTTGAAACGATTAATTTGTCATTGTCCTAAACTCGATGAAGCCATATCGACATTATACTATTTTTTGTTATAATAAAACATGAATGGTGCTGTAACGACACTTGTATCGTTTTCAAAACAGTAACGACACTTGTTCTCTTCTATTTTTTCATGTTGATTAAGTAATGAGTATATCTCCCGAATGTTGTAAACGGTACGTCCATCCTACAACGTAAATGAGTTCAACTTATCGATTATCATGGCTCGGACGGATCATGACTGCTTATATTCGTGTTTACAGACATAAAGACACAAGGGTCGTTATGTTGATTTATCCAATATTTTGCTACTTTTCCAACCGAATGACCTCAAGCATTGTACCCCTAACTTAAGAATGTCGAAAATATTGATAATGTGACAACTAATGGTATAATTGATATAGAATATATGGTATCAAACGGTGAAATCAAAAGTCCCGATCTAAATTCGTTTTGAAAGTATTAATAATGAGCATATCTCCCGAATGTTGTAAACGGCATGTCCATCTTGCACCTTAAATGAGTTCAGCTTATCGATTATCGTGGCTCGGATGGGTCGTAACCGCTTATAATCGTGTTTACAGACATAATGAGCCAAGCGTCGTTAAACGACACTTGTGCCGTTCTGTTGATTTCTTCAATATTTTGCTACTTTTTCAGCGGAACGACATCAAGCATTCCACCGCCTAACTTAAAACGGTTGAAAACGTTGATTATGTTACAACTAACGGTAGAATTGATATAGAATATATGGTATCAAACAATGAAATCACAAGTCTTGATCTAAATTCGTTTGAAAGTATTAGTAATGAGCATAACTCCAGAATGATATAAACGGCATATCCATTCTGCAACTTAAATGAGTTCAACTTATTGATTATCGGGTCTGGACTGGTCGTGGCTGTTTATACTCATATTTACAGACATAACGACACAAGTGTCGTTAAAAGGCACTTGTGCTGTTCTGTTGATTTCTCCAATATTTTGCTACTTTTATAACGAAACGACCTCAAGCATTGGACCCCCTAATTTAAGAAGGCCGAAAATGTTGATAATGTGGCAACTAACGGTAGAATTGATATAGAATATATGGTATCAAATGGTGAAATCACAAGTTTTGATCTAAATTCGTTTGAAAGTATTAATAATGAGCATATCTCCCGAATGTTGTAAACGGCATGTCCATCCTGCAACTTAAATAAGTTCAGATTATCGATTATCGTGGCTCGAACGGGTCATGGCTGCTTATACTCGTGTTTACAGACATAACGACACAAGGGTCGTTAAACGACACTTATGCCATTCTGTTGATTTCTCCAATATTTTGTTACTTTTCTAATGGAACGACCTCAAGTATTGGACCCTCTAATTTAAGAAGGTCGAAAATGTTGATAATGTGGCAACTAACGGTATAATTGATATAGAATATATGGTATCAAATGGTGAAATCACAAGTCTTGATCTAAATTAGCTTGAAAGTATTAATAATGAGCATATCTCCAGAATGTTGTAAATGGCATGCCCATCTTGCACCTTAAATAAGTTCAGCTTATTGATTATTGTGGCTCGAACAGGTCGTAACTACTTATACTCGTGTTTACAGACATAACGACCCAAGCGTCGTTAAACGACACTTGTGTCTTTCTATTGATTTCTCCAATATTTTACTACTTTTTTAGCGGAACGACCTCAAGCATTAGACCCCCTAATTTAAGAAGGTCAAAAATATTGATTTTGTGACAACAAACTGAAGAATTAATATAGAATATCTGGTATAAAACGGTGAAATCACAAGTTTTGATCTAAATTCGCTTGAAAGTATAAGTAATGATCATATTTCTCGAATGTTGGAAACGTTATGTCCATTCTGAAACTTTAATGAGTTTAGCTTATTGATTATTGGGGTTCGAATGGGTCGTTGCTGCTTACGTTCGTGTCAATAGATAGAACGCCGTTTAACTACACTTCTGCCGTTTTGTTGATTTCTTTAATATTTTGTTTATTTTCCAGCGCAACGAACTCAAACATTAAACCCCCTAACTTAAGAAAGTTACAAATGTTGATTATATGACAAATAAACATTGATGAAATCACAAGTCATGATCTACATTTGTTAGAAAATATAAGTAATTACGATATTTCTCGAACGTTGTAAATGGCATCTCTATCCTACAACTTTAATGAGTTCAACTCATCGATCATTGGGGCTCGGATGGGTCATGACTGCTTATATTCGTGTTTATAGACAGAACAACATAAGTGTCATTTTCTATATAGTAACAACACTTGTGCCGTTCTCATAACCAAGTTTGTGTATTGTTATAACTTCAATTGTGCCGTTCTTGTAGATCTTTTCATAACTCAGTAAAGGCACAATTCTCGTTCTCATGGACTTATATTTACAAACATAACGATAGTTATACCATTTTGATAGACGTTCTCATCTCAGTAACGACACAACTGTCGTTTTCTACATAGTAACGACATTTATGCCGTTCTTATGAACAAGTTTGTGTATCATTATAACATTACTTGTACCATTCTCTTAGATCTTTTCATAACTCAATTATACAGTTCTAATAGAAATGTATAAGAACATTTAAATCAAGGGCATCTCATGACCAAGTTTGTGTATTGTTATGACGTCAATTGTGCCGTTCTTGCAGATCTTTTCATAACTCAGTAATGGCACAAATGTCGTTCTCATGAACTTATATTTACAAATATATAAATATTTATATCATTCTAATAGACGTTCTCCTCTCAGTAACGGCACACGTGTTGTTTTCTACATAGTAACGACGCTTGTGCCATTCTGATGAACAAGTATTTGAATCATTATAACATTACTTTTGTCGTTCTCTTAGATCTTTTCATAACTCAGATACACCATTCTAATAAAAACACATAAGAACATTAATAAATGAGCACCTGATATATATGTTAAAATAATTCTCGTATTCAATAAGCACCTGATATACACGTTAAAATAATTCATCTTAAATGAGTAATAATAGAAAGACAATGAATAAAAGAAACTAAAATATGAAAAGACCGAATCAAATCTATTGACATCAATAAACAGAAATAGCATCAGCTCCAACTTCTTTGTCGACATCAACCATGGCCTGCCAATGTTGAAGCATTAGAATATCCAACCAACACATATAATATTGTAGCAAATGTCCGAAAATTAATCAATCCTTAATGAGCTAATGCCAAGTAAATAAACAAAAACTCTTAGAAGAAACAAAGAATAAAATATAAAACTAGAATTTAGAATTCGTAGGTATTGAAAGATCAAAATCTCAATGTCTATATCTTGNAAAATATAAAACTAGAATTTAGAATTTGAAGGTATTGAAAGATCAAAATCTTAATGTCTATATCTTGTAGTACTATGTTTCCCACAACAAGTGGTGTTGTTTCATGTATAGGAATTCAAAATAAATTTTCTACAAGATACAAGAGGTGCCCTTCCTACTTGTATTCTTTGTTTAAGCGGTTAGAGGTAAGATTTTCCTACCACTGATAAATATTGCCTCTGTTTTCACTCGAGCAACAAGATACTGCATCAATGTTTTTACCTTACTCACTTTTAATTACTTTCAATCTTTCCTCCAAAAATTCAATCCTTAATCCACATCCAAACATCCATATACATCACCCTCCAAATTAGTGAACTTCAATAATCTAAATTTCTACTACAATAACTGCTATTACTGCAACAAGGAATACAAAATAAACATAAAAAAAATTCAAATTTACGGCTAAAAGAGAAATAATATGAGAAACAAATTACCAATCCATTACATCACGTATTTACGATTGATATGAAAACAACAAAGGGACTTCATTGATAAATTTTATTAGTAATTTCTTTATCATGTTATTGACACAGTTTTTGTTTATAACAATGCTAATAAATAAATTCCTCGTTAACCCATTATCTTCAAAATTTCAAATGTATCAAAAATTCATCAATGTTAAAAAAAAACTTAACTAAAATTATACAAATAAACCATGAAATCATAAATAATCCATTTTTTATACTTTTCATGTTATTTCTACTCCAATTGAAGCACAAAATCACATATCAAAATGAAAAAAAAAAAAAATTGAAGGAAAAATTACATTTTTACTATACTGATTTTTAACAAAGAGGGATGAAGTAGTGTGAAGTAAACCTGAATGAAAGAAGAAATTTGTTGTAATCTTGAAATGCAAAAGAAATTGAGGTGAAGAAGTAAACTTTAGTTTCCAATTTAGAGAAAATCATTTAACAGTGAAATTGCATATGAAAGAATGAGGTGAAAATGAGGAAAGTTGGGTAACTATTTTACTATTAATTAAATGATAATTTTGTCATTTAGTCAATTAAAATATCTTGATTTTTTTTCTTTTTTATTAATGTTGGTCAAAGGCCATCTTTCCAAACATTTTATCCAACCCGGCTATTATGTCAAATTTTCCTTTAATATTTATTAGTTGGGTCATATGGGATGGACGCGTGTCTAGGTCGAGAAATTGTAGCACTTTACTTGATTTGAGAGGATAAGATACTCATTCGCCAGATGAGTATCTTGTAGCAGTAGAACTCAATGTAAACTTGTGAGAAAAGAAAACATTGTACGTCATTTTATCAAGTTTGCATTAAAAGTAAAACGCTGTATAGAGTAATTAGTTGTATGAAAATTAATGTTTGCTTATTAAAATAAATAAAAAGTAGAGAATGAGTTGCAGTTTGTATGTATGAGGCAATCCTAATTGTAGCATGAAGTTGACGTAATATCATACACATCTTTATTTAATGAATGATGTAGGACAATTGGTGTTAGAGTTTGAAGAAGAATTGGATCGAAAATTGGCAAAATTAGCTGTTTTGAAGAAACGGACATGACTTTTTACACTGGTATCAGAATTTCTATTATAATATGTTTTCGAAAACATCTCGCAGCGCTCTACAACGTCCCAATCAGGGGTTCCGTGGTTGACGTTGTTTTCAGCCTCAAATTTGCAGTTTAAGGCAATCTACCGAACAATTGACGTTTTTGTTTTTTTCGCTTTTAATT